GATGGTGCAGGGGTAGTAGTGGTATATGCTGGGGTGGTGCTGGGATGGTGCTGGGAATGTGATGGGATGGTGCTGAGATGATCTGGGATGGTACTTGGACCTACTGGGACGGTGTGGGATGGGTCCGATGGTACTGGTATGGTGTGGGGTGGTGCTGGTGTGGTGCTGGGATGTGCCTGGATGTGCTGGGATGGTGTAGGATGCTGCTGGGAGGACCCGCAATGGAGCTGGGATGTGTAAGATATTCTTCTGTTAACGTCAGCGTCTCAAAGCTTGCTGGGGACACAGATGGACTTGTGCAAGTGCAGGCAAGTCCTGAGCAAGGGTTGTGAAATCCTTTGTCTGGGGGAGACGAGGCCAGGGGCAAGGAGGGGAGATGAGCTGCAGCTAAGTGGCTGTGAAGTGCTCTTTTGTGCGGACTTACCTCAGGATGACGGCCATCTCAGGGGGCACTCAGTGACTCTTGCTCAAGACCCATCCTTGTCACGTAGGCAGGAGAACAAGGAGGATAAAAGGGAATCGAAAACCACGAGGATAGTTTTCCTGGCAGCAGATTCCTGATGAAGGAGAACAGAGGCTTTCTGGCAGCAGATTCCTGATGAAGAAGAACAGAAGTTTTCTGGCAACAGATTCCTGATGAGGAAGAACAGAGGCTTTCTGGCAGCAGCCTCCTCACCAAGTGACGCCTGCATGCTGCCGAACTCTCCTGGGCTGCTGCCCGAGCGCTGCTGCTTCCTCCCGCATGGCTCCGCGGCCGCCTCCTGCTGCCTGCTCGCTGCCCAAGGCCGCCACGCTGCTGCTCCCCCCCCCCGCTGCTTCTGCCTCGGACCTTCAAACGCCGTGCAACGGTACGTTGCTGGATCCTGGCGGTGACCATCCCCGCTTGACGCAATTCTTGCTTCTTTCCCATCTTTTCGGTCGCCCTCCTTCCCTTCCCCGTCTCCCTGATGAGGATTTGCAACAAACCGGTCGGACTAACACATGAACCGTTGTTTCTTAATCTCACGCCGGGCATACAGATATTAAAAGAACCTCATCTCCCTCCTGTAAATTGGAGCGAGACGTTTTGTTACTGGCGTAGCCGTGGCAGGATACCCGCTGTGAATGTTGTCCTTCCGGGTGCAGTTTGAAACCTCTCTGTGTGCACCTTCTGGAGTTGCAAGGAGCGATCTTTTTGAACATTGAGACGTGAGTCCTTCTCCAGGAAGACCGCTCCGTATTCTGAACCTTTACTTTTTACGTGAGTACCTGTCGGGGGCGTATTTTGACTGTTTGCATTTTGTTTGTTTGTGTGTGTGTGTGTGCGCGCTCTTGGGGAAGTGAAGAAGTGATATTTTGACTTAAACGTGTGTGCCTCTCCAAGACCTTTTATTCTCTCTATTGAAACCTAGAAAGTGTAGCTTTAGCTTCTTCACACTTTTTGTGCTGCCCCAAAGAAAGGGAGGAGTGGTTTGAGCGGTGAGCAGCTCCTGGAGTTGCAAAAAGTGAACTGCAGTGTGTCTTGTAACTCAGGCGTGGTGTTCGCAGCTTTTTAGCCTCTTGTCTTTGTGTGCTCCCCTCAACAAAAGGAGGCGCGATGGGAGCATTCGAATTTGTTCAGGTGTGGTGCCTCCTTGGGAGGAGCGGTGAGGAGTAACTGAGCTTTTGAAGACATGCACCTCCTCCTCCCTTAGCGTAGGTCTCCCATGGCATTACGAAATGAGTGACGGTGTTGCCGGTCGGAGAAGTGAAGCTGTGTTATTCGACCTTTTAGAAAAGCACGGTGCTCGTCCCTCTCGATCAGGGGTGGGCCGGGCACGCCAAAATGGGCATCATTTGCAGTGTTTGGACCGCATTAGCGCCTTACAGAATGAGGCTGGGACACAGCTGGAAAAGGAAAGTCATTTGTTTGTGCCGTGCTCGGGGCTGCTTTAAAAGCTGCCGTGGAGTTCCGAGATGAAAAGCATTCGGCAGAACAACAAACCATAGAAGCACAACAGGAATCGGCGAGAGTTACACAGAATGGGTAAAAACTCTGCGGAACCAAATAGTTAATGGCGAGGAACAATTAGAAAGAGAAACGCAATTCGGCCTTGTTGCAGATGGCTTTCGAGGGACTGTTAGCATGTAAGGATACTAGCGACAGTGTCACCCACAGTCTGCCTCAAGCAAAAACTTTTCCTCAGGAGGAACTGCAAGAAATAAAGGAAAGGCCAGACAAATGAGAAACCTGGGATGTTCTGGGATGGTTCTGGATGGTCCTGGGATGCTACTGGGATGTGCTGGGATGCTGCTGGGATAGTACTGGTATATGAGGGGGAGGTGCTGGGATGGTACTGGTATGTGCTGGGATGGTGTAGGTTGGTGTCCAATGGTACTGGTATTGTGTGGGGTGGTGGTGGGAGGTGCTGGGATGGTGCTGGGATATACAGGGTTGTGCTGGGATCGTTTGGGATGGTGATGCGATGGTGATGTGATGGTACTGGATTGTGCTGGAATGGTGCTGGGATGTTCTGGGATGGTATTGGAATGTGCGGGTATAGTGCTGGGATGTGCTGGGATGTGCTGGGACAGTGTTGTAGTGGTGCAGGGATGGAGCCCGGATGTGCAGAGATGTGCTGGGATGTACTGGGATGTGCTGGGATGGTGCTGGGATGGTGCTGGGATGGTGCTGGGATGGTGCCCGGATGTGCAGGAAGTGTTCAGATGTGTAGAGATGCTGCTGGGATGTACTGGCCTGTGCAGTGATGGTGCTGGAATGTGCTGGAATGCTGCTGAGATGTGCTGGGATGGTGTCCAGATGTGCAGGGAAGTGCTGGGATCTGTTGAAATGCTGCTGCGATGTGCTGGCATGTGCTGTGATGGTGATGGGATGGTGCTGGGATGTGCTGGGATGCTGATGGAATGTGCTGTGGTGTGCTGGAAAGATGCTGGGTTGGTGCTTGGAAGTGTAGAAATGTGCTGGGTTGATGCCTGGATATGCAGAGATGTTCTGGAATGGTGCTGGGATGATTCTGGGAAGTGCTGATATGTGCTCGGGTGGTGATGGAATGGAGCAGGGATGGTGATGGGGTGTGCTGAGATGTGCTGGTATTTGCTGGGATGGTATTGGGGTGGAGCAGGGATGCTGCTGGGATGGTGGTAGGATGGGGCTTGGAAGTGGTGATATGCATTGGGATGGTGCTGGGATGCTCCCTGGACGTAATGGGATGTGCTGGAATGGAGCAGGGATTGCAGAATCACAGAATTGTAGGGGTTGGAAGGGACCTCTAGAAATCCTCAAGACCAACTCCCCCTGCCAAAACAGGTTTCCTAAACCACGTTGCACAGGTAGGCATCCAGGATTGTGATTGGATGGTGCTGGGATGGTGCTGGGATGTGATTGGATATGCTGGAGCAATGCTGGGATGGTGCTTGGAAGGTGATGAGATGTGATGGGATGTGCTGGGATGGTGCAGGGATGTGCTGCATTTGCATTTCCTTTGCAAATATGATTTCTTTTTCAGGAATATGATATTTCCCCCAGAAATACCAGGTTTCATATCAATACTTCAAGTGTGCCGCCAATGCCGCTTTCTGCCCATGAGAGCGAAGCAGCACTGGTAAGTGCAGCCCCGCAGCTGGGGTCAGGCCTACGGGTTGCAGCTGAGCCGGAGCTGGGGGCGGCCCCCCGGGTGGGAGCTGCGCTGCCTGTCCCCAGGCACCTGGAACCCCGGGCCAGACAGAGGGCTGTGGTGCCAGGTGGGTGGCAGTGGGGACAGGGAAGGGTTGAGGTACCGGCATCGGTCTGCGGACGGTGGGCTGCATCCAGGCGGGGTCCGGTGGCGGCGCAGTCGCATCAGCGAGAATGGCGTCGGGTGTCAGAGGCACTGTCAGCACTCCTCGAGGGAATCTCTCTGTGGGGAAATGCCAGAAGGGGCGCTGGAATGAGATCTGGGGCATTGGGGTGAGATCCGGGTCACAGGAGTGGGATCTGGGGCACAGGGGTCAGCTGGAGCGTCAGAGCAGGGGGAGCTGCTGCAGCTGGAGAGTGGCCTCTGGGGGAGCCCCTTCCCCACGGGGGTTCCGTGACCCTTGGGCTCAGCCCCTTTCCCCCTGGCTTGCCATGCTTTGACTTTTCGTACCCAGACCTCCTTCCCATCCCAGTCGTTCCCATCCCAACGATCAGTGACCGTATCGATGGGCATTTTGCAGCCCAGTGCCCTTCCTTCCCAAGGGTCTGCCCGTCCCAGTGGGGATTTGCCATCCCTGCAGTGCCTTCTCACCCCAGGAATGGTTTCCCCTCCCACTCAGGATATCTGTCCAAGTGATTGCCAGTCGTCACCCCCCAAAACCGTGTTTATCCAGCCCGTGGCCAAGGACTTAAACTGCCAGCATTACTTACCAGTTCTGGAAAGTGGTGGCAGCCGTGGTAGGGCAGTTATACAGGTGACAATGGAAAGGAGTGATTTCGGTGGGACAGCCCTGATTGGGCTGAGAGCAGTGCAGGAATGAGTCAAGGCCCATGCAGCGTATGCCGAGCTTGTTGCTGTGAACTGGTGCTGTGTGCCTCCAGAACATGGCTAACTTTACATCATGGGCTTTTTCTCCTCGCTTTGGCCGTGTCTTGGGGCATTGCTAGCGAGGACAGCAGACAGCATTGTCTTTTCTGCTCTTCCCTCTTCTGTGCTTCCCTCTTCTCTCTTCCTCACCTGTTCTTCAGCTCTTCTCCCTTCCTGCTATCCTCCTTTTTCTGCTCATCTGCTGTTCTTTCTTCCTTCTATCCTGACCCCTCTCCTGCATCTGTACTCCTCTTCTGCTTTTCTTACCCATCTCCTCTCTTCTCCTGTCGTTCTCCTCATCAGCTCTTCTGACTTCACTGTATCCTCCTTGCACATATAATGCTCTCCTGTTCTTCTGTTCTGACCACTGTGTGCTCTTCTTCTTTACTGCTCTTTTCCTTCTCTGCTCTTCTGTGCTCTCTTCCTCCCTTCTGTTCTGTTTCGCTTCTCCCTGGCCTGTGTCCTCTCTGCCCATCTTCTTCTCTTCAGCTGCTCTCCACTTGTGTTTTTCTGTCTTACCTGTCTTGGCTCCCCTCCCTTTCTGCTCTTCTCCTTGTCTGCACGTCTTTCTTACCTTCATCCTCTCTTTTATGCTTCTGCTCTCCTCTTCTGCTCATCTCCTCATTGCTTTGCTGTCTTGCCTGTATCCAACCGTTTTCTCTATTGCACTTTTCATTCTTCCCCACTTCTTTCTTACCTGCATCCTTTCTTCTTCTTCTTTTCTTCTGCTCTTGTTTATTTTTGCCCTGTATTTATCTGCATGCTCTGTACACAGAGCAGGCATCACCCACTGAGAGCTGGGAGCCCTTCACTGCGTCCCGGATTTGTTTTCCTTCCTTGTTGGAGCGTGATTCTTTGCAGGTGCTGTGTGCATTTGAAGTAATTGTGAACTGAGCTGAGACAACAGGTGTGTTAGAGAGTCCCCAAATCCTTAGTTTAGTGAGGGCCTTCTTTCTCCATCTCTCAGTTGTTTTTCTTCTTTTCTCTCTGTTAGCACGGCATACCTGGCCCACCAGACAATCCAGCAGGGAGTGGTACCTTCTTTGCCATGCACAAGCATTATCGCCTTCTGCAGTGGTCAGCAAAAGGGGCGTGTGTGTGGGGCGTGTGGCACAGAGGCAGGCTGGCATGGGCAGTGCAAAGGCAGGCTATTAGCATGTTGCAAAACAAAAGCAGGTAGGGGCATGCGACGCTGTTGCAATTTGTTGTGTGCAGTGCAAAAGCAGGTGAGAGCTTGCGAAGCTGTGGCAAGTGGGGGCATGGACTCCACCTGCTGGTATGACAGAGCTGAAGATGCCTGAGCTGTGCAAGAGCTTTGAGAGGTGGATGGGGAGTTCTTGACCAAGGAAGAGCCCTGTGGTCCTTGCCTCTGGGGAGAGGGTGGGATTGCTGAAGGGAGAGGGGATTCTGTGAGTGATCTGAGGGGTGTAGGAAGGGAACCGACAGGTTTAGGGTTCCTTTGCCGTGCTCTGCCCAGGCTGTGACAGTGCTGGGGTTGGTTTTTGAGTCACTCTGAAGACAAAATGAGACAAAGGTTATTTTGCGCAGCCTGAAACCCTGCAACTCTGCTCTGCCTCCATGACTGCTGACCACGCTCTTCCCTTCTCCGCAGTGACCACGGCCAGCCCCATGAAGACCCACGTCCGATGGCTGTCTGTCTGCACTGCCCATGGCTGTGATGGATGAGGCTACCTCATGTCCCCTCCACCTGCCAGGCATCCAAGCTTCCTCCTGCTCCACCAGCTCTCCCACTGGCTGCGACACCTTTGCCACCTCCCGTGTCGTGTGGTGGCAATGCATGGTGCTGGGGCAGGCCCAAACTCCCACCCTGACAGCAGGCACATTTCCAAAAACTCTGCGCACTTCCTCGTCCTACTGGCTCGTGAGAAGATCCTGTTGTCAGCTGTGCCAACCAGCACAGCAGAATGTGATTGTTACGGGCAGCCTGGGAAACAGCAGGGGAATAACCCTTTCCCCCTTTGGCTGTTATTTGTTGAGAAATGCTCTCTGGTGAGTGTTGAGTCAGAGCCTGATCCACTGATGGAGCATCTGGGGAAAGGACCCAGTCAGCCCTGGGAGCACAGGTGAGGGCAGTTCAGTTGTATGATGGAATGAGGGGAGCCTGGCTGCACCTCTCCTAGACCTCACTGAAGGGCTGACTGCGTGGGCGAGGATCTCTGGTTGGAGATCCCTCCCTTGTGGAGTTTTCCCTGTGAGCCTGGATCTTCAGGGACAGGTGAGCACTTTGTCTTGTAACACACTTCTGTTGTGCCAGTCCCTTTGTGGTTACACCTCCTTCCACTGCACTGATCATTCTGGTTGTTACAGACATCCTCTGCCCCTTCCCACCTGTAAAGCAAACAAGGCGATGACAGAGCCTTTATTTGAGATAGAGGAGCTATAGAACAGGATATCAAAGAAAGAGGAATCGACTCATCCCTCCCAGCAACAGGTTGGCAGAAAGCGGTGAGCTGAGGAATGCAGCCTTCTGCGTTTGAACTGTGGTGTGCTGAAAGGTGAGAGGGGGCTGAGGGCTGGGGGGGGAGAGCTGTGCAGACTGACTGTATGTGTGCTGCTGGGAGCACTGCTGAGATGGAGAGAGAGGAAGGCTCCCCGCTCGAGGTACTTGTGTGCTCACGCAGTGGTTCAGGCTGTGACCTGGCAATTCCACTGCACCACCCATTCTGAACTGTCCACGTGCCACCTCCAGGTGTTGCCCAGCTTTTGGGGGACTCACTGTGACCTCCCTGTCTCACCAGTGCCTCGTGCACTGGACTTCACAGCATCTTGACGGTGAGCAGTGGTCCTCTGGAGATGCTGAGCAACAGTTGTGAGCTGCGCCCTTTTCCTGGACCATCCCAAGCTCTTCTCAGCCCAGAGCCTGTCTCTCTTTCCCTGGGGTTCTGTGGATAAGTCAGCAAGATGGGGCTGTGCCAGCCAGCTGGTTTCAGCTTCACCACCCGAATGACAGCAGGGCAGTCCTGCAGCTCATGGCAGCCCTACGGCTCTGCTCCTTTGCCAGGCTGGAGAGTTGAATCAGCTCCGATTCTGCAGATCCTTCCCTGAGTCCTGCTGCTAAGCACCGATACTTGTGCATCCTCTGGGCCACATCAGGACTGGAAAGAGGAGTAGACATCAGGCGGAAGGATCTGGCCTTCTGCTGGTGACAGCCACCTGCAAGCCACCTGCATGGCCTGTTCCTGCTTTCTCTTTTCCCCAGGAGCCATTGTGCTTCCCAAGCAGTGCGTGGACCTTTCTGACGGGAGTGAGCAGCAAGGAACCGACTGGGTCTCAGCTTCCTTCCTGCCCTGCGCTTGACTGAGGGACCCTGCGACCAGCTCAGGAGGTCAGAGGTGGCCATGGGCCCAGCTTTGCCAGCTTTCCCTGCCAAAGGGAGCAGTTCAGGGAAAGACACAGCCTGGGTGAGCCTGAGCTTTACTCTTCCATCTGAGGGAGCTGTGGACATCAGTGTGTGCCTGACTCATAACGGTGTGGGTCAGCTGTGGATGCTCAGTGTTCTTAAGCAGCCCAGCTGTATCTCACAGGCTGTAGTCACAATTACTCTGCGAGGCTGAGATACCCTGAGGATCACGGCATCTCTCACTTTGCTCTCACGCCCTTGCTCACAGTCTCTGAGGAACGTCTTGAGCCCTGTGCCCACGTCCTCGCTTATGTGCTGGAGTCACTTTTGTGCCTTTTGGTGTCAGGGCTCTTGGGGCAAAACGTGCCTGGACACTGCCACACATGTGATGCCTTTCTGCGGTGCACACTGGAGGATGCAGAACTGGCTGGGTCTGCGATGCTTTATGAAGCTGCTCTGACCTATTTCAGCAGCAGGGGAACTCTTCTCACCTGGTCTAACCCTTAGAGCAGCATAAAGTGACCTGGGGATAAGTTTTTGTTTCTGCTTTCTATCCCAAGTCCTTTCCTTTCCATGGAAAGAGCAGAAGTGGTCCTTCAGAGCTGATTGACCCCTGCGCCTGCTGTGTTTCTTTTCCCTTTTTGTGGATGAGCAAGTGCCCCTTTAGGGATGAGCATCTCTTTGCTCCTCCCATTTTACAGCTCATAGCAGGGTGCCCAGGACACCCCACAGTTGTGGAGAGCAGCTGGCACAAGAGAAATAAGTCCTGAGGCTGCAGCAAAGATTTTGGGTCATTTGCAGTGGCTCAGTGGGAGCTTGCAGAGGCAAAAAGCAGCTGGAGATGTGCTCTGCAGTTCTGTGCTGGTTTGCAGATTCCTCAGGAGTGGTCTTGGGTCATCTGGCTTCCACCAAGAGTGCTCCTCTTCTCTCCACAGATCACATCCCAGGTGCTGTCTGTCTGTCTGTCTGTGGTGGGTTCCAGAGCAAGGAGGCCTCTCCGTGCCATCACTGCACGTTGATTTCAGCCTGTGGCACCCACATTGGGACGCATGGATGCTCCAGGAAACAGCTGTGAACCCTTGGGCTGGAATAAAGACGCCAAAAACAATGCAGAAAAGAAAAGCAGAGGTAAGTCTGAGTTTGTGCAGGAAACTCTCAGGAAACACACCTGCTAAGGTGAAGCTGGGACCATCCGGTGAGGTTTATTTTGGATGCTACTCTCCAGCACCCATTTTGGAGCAGCCAGTGTGCTTCCCATGGATGCTCACTGCTGTCCTGAGCCCTTTATAAGCTCAGGAGCCCCTGCTACAAGGCAGCATATTGCAGAACTAAAATGGCGTGGTTTTGTAGGAGGGAGCAGGGGCTTTGTACCAGGGAGCTGCAGAGCATCCTGGGCACAGCATGGCAAGATGGGAAGATCCACTGCGTGTGTGCGTTGGCTTCACACGCACGGGGGCACAGCATCTCTAGCAAGAAAACCTCTGCAACTCATTCTGCTCCTTTATCTTTTTTCAGAAATGACACGGTCCAGCTCATTTTGGCCATGGGACACAGCAGCTCTGACAGCATCCCAGTGCTGCGACATCCCACTGTCTGCCTCTCTGAGGGGCCAGGGCTGATCCAGAGCAAGGCAGCAGCTTGGTGCTGCAGTGGGAAGCGGAGGTGTGTGGAGTGCTGTAGGTGTGCTGGCTGTGCCACGTTGCTGTGGGGTAGAGCTGGTGCTGCAGTGAGCCCTTGTGGGATGTTGGTGGAGCCTGGGGTTGGAGGGCTGTGCAAGCTGGCTATCGCAGGGCTGGGGAAAGCAGGGATGACGAAAGGGATAATGGAGAGAGATTTGGTGGGGTGCCTGATTTTTTCGGTGCTCTGGAGGGTTGCTGAAGTTCATCAGGAAGCGCAGCATCTCTCCCTTGTAAACGTTTGGGGCTGAGGCAGTGGGGTGAGTGGAATGGCACAGCTGGGTCTGGGAATGATGGCTTTGGGTTTGGCCAGTCCTTGGTGGCTCTGTGTCAGTGGGCCGAAGCCAGCCCCAGGGGGCACCCAGCAGGCTTTGACAGCAGCAGAGGTGGCTGGCTGCGGGCTCTCTCTGCTCCACGCTTTGGTTCACAGGTCTTGGGCTTCTCCCAGTCGTCCTCCGTGTTCTCGGGTTGTGGTTCCAAGAAATCCTTCAAGTTGGAGAAGCATCCCCCAAAGGGGTGTCAGCTGATTGCAGTATGCATGACAGAAGGCCGTGGACACAGTGGGTGCAGGGCCCCCATCCTCAGCTCTTGGGCAAGGCTGTCTGTCTGTCCTGCCAGGGGATGCACTGTGGACTGGTCCTGCCTCACTCCAGCCTCCCCTGGATGCATCCTTCAATCCTTGTGTCTCCGGGCTCCTCTGCTCCTTGAAGTGGGGGTTGGCTGCCAGCTGGCTGGGCTCTGGGTTGGGGTGAGTGCTGCTCGCCACCCCATTGCCCTCCAGGCAGTGGTGTTAGTGGCAGTGCAGTGGTGTTAGTGGCAGTGCGTGCACTCTGCCTCACTCACCTGGGCCAGCAGCTTCTTCTTGGCCAGCAGAGACATGATGGGGTGGTTGCCTTTGGAGTAAAAGCTGGCAAAGAGGCCCTTGTAGGCTTCATTGTGGGCGCAGCGAGTGCTGGGACACCCCCCAGAGGGGCTGTGCCAGGGCCGTGGGGCTGGCACATTGCTCCCGTGGCCAGCCTTGCTTGTAGGCCTCTTTTGGGTCCTCCTTGCTGGCTTCAAGGGTGGCTCCCACCTCCAGCTTTGCCATCTCTGATGCCACCTGCAACCTAAAGCAGGTTTGGGGTGTGGGTGCCAAGCTGGGTCGTGTACCCGCCCCATCCCTCTGCTCTCCCTCCGGAAGCTCAGTTCTCCACTCTGGTCTTGACCTCATCCTTCCCAGAACTCCCTCGCCACGTGCCCAGTGGGGGGATGGATACAGGGAGGCAGAGCAGGGTGTGGGGTGGTTCCCAAGGTTCACCCCTGGCCACTCTCCTGCTCCCAGCCTTTCTCCTTCTAGCTCCTGCTGCTCTTCTCGCTCATCTCAGTGCCCTTGGAGACCTTACGCTGCTTTCAGGGTTTGCTGGGAGGCAGCGGCTTGTCGTCCTCGCCCTTCAGGTGCTGCTTGTACAGGAGGACCAGCCTGCGGGGTGCGAGTCACAGCGCTGAGCCCCAGTCCCACTAAACCCCTTGGAGGGGGCAAACTGAGGCACTCGGTGCCTCTCCCCCACACCGCCACCCCTCATAGTGCTGCTGGGTCCACACTTGCCCACACTGGTGCTGCTGGGGCTGCTGCCCAGCTCATCGTACACATTCTTCTACAGCCATCTCCCTGTTACCTGCGGAGGCAGACGGTGTGAAGATGGATGAACCCTCCCCAAACCTGGAGCACAGAGCCATGGGATGGGGGACGCTGCCTGCTTACCAGCTCGTAGGCTCTAAGCTTCTCCATGCTTTGTAAATCTTGCACAGGTTAACTGGAAAGAAGGAAGGAGTCAGTGAGATGCGGTGCACACCAGCTCTTTGTCCCAAAGGCTCCTCCATCCCCAGAACATCCTCCGTCCTAGAAGCCCCTGCCAGGTATGCGCTGTGCTTGAAGTTGAGGTCTGGGATTGGATGCGCGCCTCTCCTTCATGAACTTGGAGAGGCTGATGAGGAAGGCCTCCTCCTCTTCCTCACCGCTGGCATCTGACGGTTTTGCCAGCTTGGGGCTTGGTGCCTCCTGGGTGGGGGATGCAGGAGGAACCCCGAGGGGCAGATCTGCTCAGTGCATCTTTGGGATGGGGAAGAAGAGTGCACGCACCTGAGAATCCCTCGCTGGTGTAAGAATGTCAGCACTGATAGATACCTGTGATGGGAACTTGTGTGGGAGCAATGATGTAGTAATAAAATAGGGCAAATCCTTACGCTGAGGGGGGCACCCTTCAGGGGGGTACAAAATAACCGTTTGTGATGTCATGTTTGACAGTTATGTGGATGGTGGAGCTGTGCTGATGTAATCCATTTCCAGTTGTGAACAGGATTGCTCTGGGAGCTGCTGCAGTGCGATTGTGTGTTGGCTGACTGTAAGCTGAAACGTCACTGCCTCTGAATATGGATGTGTGCGGGGATTTTGTTTTTAGTTCTGGGATTTCAGCCTTGCCCTATGGCAGCTCTGAAGAGGCCTTGTTTTCCCAAACCCCGCTTTGCTGCTAAATGAGGCTGATGGGAAGTGCTGTGCTTTGGGCCCTTTGCTTTTAGTTTCTGTGGCCTGTGCACCTTGGAGGGTGCTTTCTTTCACATTTTTTTGTTTGCTAGCCACCTTTTCAGTAGGTAAGATTTATTAGAGATGGTCTTGCTTTCCTGTGGTGGCTATATGTAGGTGCTGGACCAGGGGAGGTTATCAGAGAAGGGAAGGATTCGCTGCACTAATTGAATCGTAGCCTTTTAGACAAATGGAAGTTCAGGTGCTGATACTGCACTGTGTAGCTAGAGAACTTCCTCAGGAACAATCTGGGACGTGATCCCCAGTTCCCAGTTTGAGCTTCTCCATCTGTTTCTCTCATATTGGGGCAGACCTGTATCTTGGAGGCAAGATCTGGGCAGTGAAAAGCTCAGGGGATGTTGACTGGCCACGTTAGTATATGAAATGTTCAGGCATGGAAGGGAACAGCCAGTTTACAGCTGAGGAATAGTTTGCCTTTCCTCTTAAATTCCTGCGCCTGGTTTCTATGAGCACTGTTATCCACTGCTTGCAGTGAGACTCAGCACTGGGTTTGGGGGCCTGGTGCTTAGCGAGGTGTAACTGCAGCTGTGCACTGAAGCAAACTGCACCCAGCAGTATCACAGGAGCTGGAACATCTGGTGCGTGCTAGGTTTTAAACTGGACATGCTTTAATGGGACGGGACTTATGGGCTGCCACTCGTTCCCTTGGGAAATTTCTGTGAGACTGGTTCCAGATGCTAGGACTGCCAAGGGGCCTGCATGCCCTTCTGTCAGCGATGCCTGTTCTCAAGGCAGACGTATAGGTGGAGTTATACGTGCCTTGTTCTCTGTCAGGTTTGTTTTTGAACTGACAAGACAAAAATGAAATGGGGCACTTTTAGCTTGGATCAGTTCCGTAATGCGGTGCAGTGCGTGGTCTCACACTGAGAAGGTGATGGCTGAGCAAGGCTGGGGACTGCTGGTGCTCCTTAGGAGGGCAAGGAGCACGCTGACCTGTGCTCCTGGCTGGAGCTAGCAGGTCTGTAAATGGCTGTGCTGAGGGGTCAGGCCTTGCAGAGAGCTGGGGCCAGCAGCTGGGAGACGACAGCTTCACAGCCAGCCCTCCTGCAGATCACCATGACTTGTGTTGGGCTGCAGCCTTGCATCATGCCTCAGGTTAAGCAGGGGGCTGGAGGCAGGTGATGTTACTGGGTGGGAACCACGAACCCGACAACCTTCCACGTTCCTGTGCCTTGTGCAGGCTGTGGGATCTTGACTTTGTTTGTTTTAGAGTGAGTTCAAACTTCTGCAGTGCCCAGTCTCCAGTGGTTCGGTCTGTCCGCTCTTGAAGTCAGTGGGAGCCTTCCTGGTAATTTGGTTATTCAACTGCTCCACGAGAATCTTCCCTAAATGGAAGTCTGTAGCTGTGGAAACATTTGTCTGTAGGCCAGCAGGCAGAACAAGTGTGTGCAGAGGGGTTTGTGGAAGCACCTTGCCCGTTAAGGAGCCTCTCTCTGTGCTGTGAGTGCTTCAGTGCTGTGATGAAAATAATACAAAGGATTCTCATCATTAATGAGCTTGTTTGTGAATGGATGAAGCATTGTCTTAAGGGCAGCAGTTGGAGCCCATCTAATGGAAGCTGACTGGAGGTGTGTCCTGTGGCTGTGACAAACTTTGCAGGGGAACAGAGAACAAAAAACCCAAACCGACCTACTGACTGTTATTGACTGTTCTCCCCTTCAACATCAATAACTAGATGCT